CTAGAGATACATAATTTTGTTCAGCTTCAAGGAAACACCAAAAGAAGTTTCACTTCCAACTCAAAATACTTAGTCGTGTGAAAAAAAGACACCGAGCTGAATAGTGTCAGTGTGGTGGTAAAGATCTATTGATCTGAATGTGCAGATCAAAAGTATAAAACTAGAGAATCATGTTCTCTCCAGTTCCATCACCATTTGTTTTTATTTTATAAAAATGCTCTTACCAATCAGTTCACACTCTCTGAAAGCTATGCTTTAGGCTCACAGTGATGTGGAAAAATATGGGAGTAAGTCCGTTTGTGCTGTGTTTTTATTTTAATGATTTTCATTCTTCATTTTCACAGTGCATTGATAATATTAGGTGCAATGGTTTAATGACCATAGTGTTTGAAGAAAACTCTAAAGTCACTGTGCCACATATGATCAAGTAAGTGCAGCATTTTTTCTCAGGAAATAGTTTGTTTTGGCTTTAATAAAAGTTTAAAAAACAAATATGTGTAATTGGAAATTGAAATATTTTAATATATATATTTTTAAAATCTGTTTAATAGCATTGATTCTACTTCTTTCTTTTTTTTTTGATGTTGCATTCAGTTGTGTTTCAGGTGACTAATTTTAACTCTGTTCACCTAGAAGTTCATACAAGTGAATATTTACTCTTTGTGATACCATTTATAACTTTAATAGATTTTAAATGTCTGCAAAATTTAAGAGAGTACAAAAAAGTATCATTTTTTGAAGTACTTCAACCAGAATTTTCTTTTCCTTTTTTTCCTCTCCTTTCTGAAGTTCCATAACTTTAGTTGATCACATGAAGTTGATCACATCATTATTCAGAAACCTACTTCCACCATCCTTGGACTCTCTTTCATGATTTATTTTCATAAATTGTCATTTTTGTTCATAGGCAGCAGTATGCAGTACCTGTTCCTGAATTTCTAACACAAGAATACCTCTGGGATCCTCTGCAGTTCTGCATTTACTTGGCTCTTATCTGTTGTTATCCAGTGTAAATATTAAGGAATAGAACGACACACAACTATTTCCTTTCTTATTGCTATCTATCGCTAGGCCATTTCTCCCTCTTGAATGTACTCTGTACATGAAGGTTTCTCAGATATCTTTTTAATGATTAGAGTATCCTCTTTCTCTTAATTTAGAAATTAAATAAAGACATTTTTATCTAATACATATGTGTGCATACAGTGCTGGGTAGATACCTTTATCCCTAGAAAGAAGGCATTTTGTTGTCTTCATTTTTATTCCAGAAATTTTTTAGTCTGTGAATAAGTCCACTACCTGCTG